GGTTCAGCAGGCTCAGGACGGACCCTGCTGCCCCGACTCAGACACACTTCTTGCGACGGCAGACATCCTATGTAGAGCAGAGGCCACTGCAATAAGAACGCGGGGCTCAGTAGCCTCAGAGGCACAGTCAAGGGGCTGCAACGATGGAGACATTCCACAGGTACAAGGCTGTGACGTGGAAGCACACTCTGGGATGTGGTGGACTGAAGTGATCCATGTAGATGTGGGTGCTATCTCTCTCTCATTCTCTGTCCTTCATAATGTGTGCCATGGGGCCTCTCTCGGTAAAAATGGGTGCCCAGAATTAATCACACACCTCTACTCAAAATAAATTGGGCCAACTTGCTGAATCACAAAATGATTCCCTCACCATGGCCCCTAAAGAGCTCTGATATGCTACTGATGGCTCTGAAGTCTAAATTTATTGGCAAAAGTAAAGAACACGTCTGAACTAGTTATTTCTGCAGGCATTTCTCCTTAAGATGAGTTTGAAGCCAATTTGCTTTATGAAGAATAGCAATCAGTTCTTTCTCTCACACTGAAGGAAGGGGAAACACAAAATAAAGTTCAAGGGTCAAGCCTCCAAAAAGGCTCTGTTGTAATCCCATGTGCACTCTCTTTGTATCTTGTGATGAATTTGGGATAATGGACACTTTACTCATTGGCCATCCGTCCTAGAACATGATAAGCATTTTCATTTATATAAGTTTACTTGTAATTCTTCCAAAATTTATCTTCACATAGGTCTCCTGCATTTCCCAACAAACTAATTTCAGACATTTTCTGTGTCTATGATTCTACTGTGAAAGGAATCTCCTTTTCAATATATTTGTTGCAGGTATAGATTTTGTGCATTGCTTTATGGTGTTGATTTGTCCATCTTTTTTATTCTGCCTGACTTACTGTAATCATACTAATTTGTCAATTTTTCAGTTGGGGTTTTAAAGGATGTTAACATTAAATGCATTTTTAGGTTTCCTTTCCCAATCGTTATAGCACTTAGGTCTGCTTCATATCATATTTATTTATTTATTGAGACAAAGTCAAGTTCTATTGCCTAGGCTAGAATACAGTGGCACAATCATGGCTCACTGCAGCTTCAACCTCCTTGGCTTTTCATCTTCCTACTTCAGCCTCCTGAGTGGCTAGGACTCTAGCAGTATGCCACCACACTCAGCAAAGTTTTCCGCTTTTTTAGTTCAGATGAGTTTTCACTATGTTGCTCAGGCTGGTCTTGAACTCCTGAGCTCAAGTGATCATCCTGCCTTGGCCTCCCAAAGTGCTGGGATTATAGGTATGAGCCTGGCCTCATATTTGCAGTAACAAGAATATGTGGAAATGTTTCATCATTGCAGAGAGCAGATTTCTTGCCTTTTCAATGAGTGTATCCTCCACGGTTGTTGAACAGAGGAATGAGTAAACAAGAAAAAGACTCAAGAAGAAGGATGAGAATCAGTTCTCATCAGAGAAGAAAAGGTCTATTTCCTAAGGCAGAGAAATACTGAAGTGGGTTGTGTTCAGGACTAGCAGGCAGTATGTGGCTGGCTTGTTCCCTGCCTGCATCCTACTGGCCTCAGAAAAAGATGCCCCACACTAAGGACAGCAAGAGGGACAGTGGGAGCCTCATCCTCTGTGACTTCAGTGGCAGCTTAAGCAGCACCAGGAAAGACCTACTTGCAGATTTTCTTCGTGAGAAAATGGTGTTAGGTATTTGGGTTTTTATTTATTTCCAACCAAACATGCCTTCATGGACACAGGGTGCAAAGGCATGCACTGGATTATTCCAAAACTGCCTCACTGGTTTATCCTGCATTCTGTGGACTTCCTGCATTCCTATTTGAGGCAAGCCAGTTTCTGGAGGTTGCTTGTGATCACCCTCTGCTCAGAGCCCAGATTCTTAGCCTTTCTCCCATGTGCTATGTCCAGTGTGGATTATCCTGATGGTGAGCTTACTTTTGATGTTTGGGGAAACAGTCAAAGAATGAATGAGCAGCAGTAACCGAAGAACCTCTTTTCTGGGAAAAAAGCTATGATATTAATAACTTATGGTCCAAATGCATATTAATTTATCCATACTTCTCTAACCTTAAGTTCCCAAGCTCCAAGGAGTTCAGAAAGGTGTCTTGAATGCTCATGTTTCAAAGATAAAATGACACATTTTCTTTTTTTTTCCTGACAACTTCATAACATTCTTAGAGTATACATTTTTCTTCTTTCTAAAAATGATTTTTTTTTTTTTTTTTTTTTTTGAGACGGAGTTTCTCTCTTGTTACCCAGGCTGGAGTGCAATGGCCCGATCTCGGCTCACCGCGACCTCTGCCTCCGGGGTTCAGGCAATTCTCCTGCCTCAGCCTCCTGAGTAGCTGGGATTATAGGCATGCGCCACCATGCCCAGCTAATATTTTGTATTTTTGTAGAGATGGGGTTTCACCATGTTGACCAGGATGGTCTCGGTCTCTTGACCTTGTGATCCACCTGCCTTGGCCTCCCAAAGTGCTGGGATTACAGGCTTGAGCCACCGCGCCTGGCCAAAAATGATTTTAAAATGTGTCTCCCTTTACATGGAGCAATTTGAGATGCTCTGTGTGATGAAACAGAGACAGAGAATGATGAGTGGAGATCAAATCCCAGGTCCGTGATTCAGTTGCACAGCTGGTTTAAGACTCAGTTGAACACTACCAGCTGCCATAATGGTTTCAGCCAACTTATAGCTTTACATATTTTATTTTAGCCATACGTTTAATTTAAACCAACAGTAGACCATTGATTAAAAAAAGCATATGGGGCTGGACGCAGTGGGTCACACCTGTAATCCCAGCACTTTGGGAGGCTGAAAAGGGCGGATCACCTGAGGTCAGGAGTTTGAAACAAGCCTGACCAACATGGTGAAACCCATCTCTACTAAAAATACAAAAATTAGCTGGGCGTCGTGGCATCCACCTGCAGTCCCAGCTACTAGGGAGACTGAGGGAGAAGAACTGCTTGAACATGGGAGACAGAGGTTGCAGCCAAGATCATACCACTATACTCCAGCCTGGGCAACAGGAGCGAAACTGTCTCAAGAAAAAAAAAAAAGCATATGGAAGAATATTAATACATTTCAACAACTCAGCATCTCAATAAACCTATGCCTGACTATGCATAGGATTTGGATGTATGTGTATATATCCAAGATATATGTATTCCCAGCCAAAAACAAATACTTTTAACCAAAAATCACGTTTTATCCTGTAACATATAAATAGAAAAAAATCATTACAAGAATTTCCACCAGCCTGGGCTACATGGTAAGGTTTCTGTCTGTAGAAAAAATACAAAAGTGGCCGGGTACGGCGGCTCATGCCTGTAATGCCAGCACTTTGGGAGACTGAGGCAGGTGGATTACCTGAGGTCAGAAGTTTGAGACAAGCCTGGCTAACATGGTGAAACCCTGCCTTTATTAAAAATATAAAAATTAGCCAGGTGTGGTGGTGCATGCCTGTCGTCCCAGCTACTCCAGCAGCTGAGGCAGGAGAATTGCTTGAACCTGGGAGGCAGAGGTTGCAGTGAGCCAAGATCATGCCACTGCACTCCAGCTTGGGTGAGATAGCAAAACTGTCTCCCCCCGCCCCCCCAAAAAAATACAAAAGTTAGCCAGGTATGGTGGTGTGTACCTGTAGTCCCAGCTATTTGAGAGACTGAGGTGGGAGGATACCTTGGGCCCAGGAGGTGGAGGCTGCAGTGAGCCGTGATTGCACTACTGCATTCCAGCTGGGGCGACAGAGCAAGACCCTGTCTCAAGAAAAAGGAATTTCCAAGGGGCTTGCTTCCTTGAGATTAAGGGCCTCCATCAAATTTGAGGATGAAGGATTAGACGTATCCCTATTCAAATCCAAAACAAAACAAGGCTATTAGTAAACATGACTATTTAACATAGCTCTGTCATAGTAGCTAGGACTATACAATGTTAATTTTTTTAAGTTCAAATATGGAAAAGGAAGATATCAAATTATTCATTGCGGAATGAATTGGGTGTTCTATCTATGGACAAGAAAAATCCAAGAAAATATTCGACTAAAAGATATTCGCACAGTCTCTGAGTAAATACTCCTATACAAAAATCAACACACTAACAGCAACAGCAATTAATATAATGTGTACCCTGAGGTTGGATACTCCAGTGACCAAAAGAAAAACCAGTGGAACAAGTTTAGCAGGCAGTGTACAGGCCACCAGAGGGAGGCAGAGGGCTGCTGAGACCTGTCACAAGAAATCCCAATAGAGAGTACACAGGGCCCTGAGCCCCAAGAGGAGAGATCATCAGAGCCCCCAGGCCCCAAGGAAGACAAAAACGTTGTCTGGACCTGGGACCTAAGGAAGATGAGAACTCGACACCAGATGTAGGTCCCTGAGGGACGCCAAGAGAATACTTCCTTGTTCTGAGCCATCCCAAAGAAGATGAGAGCACCCCGGGGCCCAAGGAAGGGCGGCACACAGACCTCGGTTTCCCCTCCCTAGACATGAGCACCTCAGCTTGCAGCAGCAAAGTGGACCACAGGAGGATACTGGGCAGAGGATCCTGGTCCTCCTCCCCAATGCCTGGGGTACAGTTAGCCCTGATCATCTCTCCAGAACCAGGGTGGACGTTTAGCCACGTTCCCAGCACACTTCAAGTCCTCCGAGTTGCTCGCCCCTCCCTGACCTTGAGTGGACGCTCGGCCCCGCCCACCCTGACTTCCGGGCATGACCCATCTGCCAGAAACCTGGGTGCCGCCAGTCCCAACTCCTGCACACCTCCTGCCCTCCCAGTCCCGCCCCTTCTTTCACGCCTTTGAAACTGATGGAACTTCGGCACCTCTCCCCACTGCCCCCCGCGACTTCCGTCCTCCAGTCGCCCCTCCTTCTCCCCAAAAGTTGCGTGGGCCCTAGCCCCGCCTCCTGCATTCTCCCCGCCCTCCCTGTCCCCGCCCCTCCACTGAGAGGAGCAGCCAGTTAGGCCCGCCCCATGCACTTCCGGTCCTACCCGCTCTTCCTCTTCCCAAGGGACGTCATAATAAATCCCGCCCTCCCCCCCCCCCCCCGGCCTCGCCCAAGCATCACCCACTCCGGCACTTCCGGCCTGACCCCTGTCCCGCTCCTTTCCTAGCTCTAGCTGCTGCTCTGCCCCAGGAGTGGTCGCCTTCGTGGGGAGGCACGACACTCTCCCAGCTCGGGTCGCCGTACATTGGTGTGAGGCCCTGCGGCCTAGTGTCCCTCACCAGAGGCCTCCCCTTGCCCAGCTGGACCGCCGAGGGACATCGACGAGTGCCCTCCTCCAGCAGTCCCCGGCTTCGCCTGCCGCCCAGAACCGACCGGTCAAGATGGCCGCCGCCGGGTGAGGCGAGCAGGCGAGCCGCGGGGGCGTCTGGGAGTTGTAGTCCCGGACGGCGCACTGACGCACTTCGCCGCCGGCCGACGGGCGCCATTGTGCGGCGCGCGCCGGGTGAGTGCCGCGCGAAACCTGCGTCGGTCTGGGGCTGCGCCGGGCGGCTCCGGAACGGTTCGCCGGGGGCGAGCGCGGCCTCTTTGCCTTTCCCGCAGAGGTTGGCTCCCTGGAGCCGGCCGTGTCTGCCGTCCTCCCGCCGCTCTGCGGGATGGGGTCGGTGACCCGGAACCCCGAGGGGAAACAGTGCTTTCGGGGCGCCGGGGTGGAGAGAACAGATGGCCTGCGGGAGCGTGGGGTCTGGGCCCGGGGGGCGACCCCCTCCGGTGTGTGGGACGGAGGAGGCTTGCTGGGCGTCCCGTCCAGTCCTTCGGGAGTCCTGTGACTCCCTCTGGGCGTGTTCCCGATGGGTGGACTTGTCATTTCCCGCCGAGGGAGCCGCTCCTGGGCGGAGGCAAGGGGAGCTCCCCTGCGGAGCCCTTACGCCTCTCCCTCCCCTCCCGACCTCGGTCTCCTCAGGACTCTGCGCACCTCCACCAGAGACGCGTTGAGAAGGAGGAAACTATGGCCGCAAGGCTTCCGACGGTCTGGTCCTCTGTGAGTAGAGGCTTCCTGAGGCTTTGGAGTCCGCTGCCGCACCTGGAGGGATGCGGGCGGTGGTGGGATGCCACCTTCCCTGCGGTCCCCGCATCCCCCAGATCGCTCCGGGGAGGGGCTGGGCACTGGCTGTGGGTGAGAGCCCCTGCGTGGTGGTGGAACCGCAGGTGGCTTGGATTTCCAAGCGTGTAGTTAGAGACTAGGTGGGGGCTTCTGAAGGCCACGTTGAGGCTCTTCCTTGTATCCTTTATACTGGGAAGAGTAATGCACCGGTTTTTTTTTTTTATGATTTTTGTTTGTTTGTTTTTGAGATGGAGTCTCCCTCTGTTGCCCAGGCTGGAGTCCAGTGGCGCGATCTTGGCTGACTGCAACCTCCGCCTCCTGGGTTCAAGCGACTCCTGTCTCCCCAAGTAGCTGGGGCTACAGGTGCGCCACCACACCCAACTGATTTTTTTTTTTCTTTTTTGGTTGAGACAGAATCTCACTCTGTCGCCCACGCTGGAGTGCAGTGTTGCAATCTTGGCTCACTGCAACCTCCGCCTCCAGGGTTCAAGCGATTCTTCTGCCTCAGCCTCCTGAGTAGCTGGGATTACAGGCGTGCGCAACCACGCCCGGCTAATTTTTGTATTTTTAGTAGAGACGGGGTTTCACCGTGTTCGTCAGGCTGTTCTCGAACTCCTGACCTCGTGATCTGCCCACCTTGGCCTCCCAGAGAGTAATTGACAGATGCATGCAGGGATCAGGCTTCTGTTTAGATTTCGGCAGGTAAATTGGCATCAAGAAAGAGGTGAGAGCTACTGAGTTCAATTACAAGTAAAAAGATAGGTGAGGATGGATCCCTGACCTGTGAAGGAGATAGAAGCAGCAGGGCCCTGGGTGGGGGCTGACATCCTGGGTGTGATGGTGCAGCTCAGAGAATTCCCTAGGAGGCATACAAACCACTCTCAAAGTCATAATTTTCAAATGAATAAGAAATTGATTGAGTCTTGGACGTCTCATTCAGGACTCACCCAGGAGAAAAAAAAATAGGTTTTCATATGCTGCAGAGGTCTCATGTGTTGCTCTCCTTACTGTAACCTGAATAGAGTCAAGCTTGGGTTTGCTTGGGGTTTCAGACAAAGACAGAAACTCAGATATGACTCCCAAAATGCCCTTGAGTCGTCTTGTAGACCACTCCGTGCTTTCACTGGCCTGGTTAGCCTCCCTTGTTTTTCTTTTGCTGTGGATGAGGATGGCCTGTGGCTGAACAAGAATCTGGATTTTAGGAACCAGTGACCTTTGAAGATGTAACACTGGGTTTTAACCCGGAAGAGTGGGGACTGCTGGACATCAAACAGAAGTCCCTGTACAGGGAAGTGATGCTGGAGAACTACAGGAACCTGGTCTCAGTGGGTAAGGCTGGCCTCCAGGTCAATAAAGATTTGTGCTTTGTAGCACAAATGTAGCACCTGTAAAGTATGTGTCTGCTTGGGCTCAGAGTGCAGGGGCACCAACAAGTAAGAAAAGGGCAGCTTTTCAGTGAGAGTTCCAAAGCATCACGTAGTTCATCCCTCAGACCTCCTGAATACCAGGGAGGTGGGTCTGTCAAGGATGTTTTCAGGTGTGATAGTGGATGCTTATTGTTTTTGTAACGAGTTCTTGCCGGACGTGGTGGCTCACTTCAGGAGACTTGGGCAGGAGGGTTGCTTGGGCCCGGGAGTTTGCGTACAGTGTGGACAACATAGAGCCTATCTTTATTAAACAAACAAACAAACAAACCCTCCACAGAAATTCCAGATGATGTGATGCCAGTGTCAGCCAGCTTTGGAGTGGCATCAAAGAGCCTGTCCTGGCCGGGCATGGTGGCTCACGCCTGTAATCCTGGCACTTTGGGAGACTAAGGTGGGTAGATCAGTTGAGGTCAGGAGTTCTAGGTTGGCCTGGCCAACATGGTGAAACCCCATCTTTACTAAAAATGTGAAAATTAGCCAGGTACTCCAGCTACTCAGGAGGCTGAGCCAGGAGAATTGCTTGAACCTGGGAGGTGGAGGAGGTTGCAGTGAGCTGAGATAGCATCACAGCACTCCAGCCTGGATGACCAAGCAAGACTCCGTCTTTAAAAAAAAAAAAAAAAAAAAAAAAAAGCCTGTCCCTTTCATCTGTGATTATTGTGAACCTTTCTGTGTTTCCCCAAATCATTGCATGGCTGTGGCTCCAAGCGTTGCATCTGTATTAAAGGCAAAAAAGAAGAGAAGGGCTACCTCTGGCCAGCCCTCTTTCACAGCTGTCATGTTTAATCAGAAAACAAAAGCTTTCCCGGAATGTCCCCCAGCTGACGATCTCCCTTTGTATCTGGCTGACCAGAACTGGGCCCCTCAGCTGCTTGGCAAAGGAGTCTAGGAAAGCAGATAACAGGGATGGATGGAGTTGGATTCACCACTCTAGGCCAGCAGTCATGTCGTGCAGGGGAGAAGGTGGAGACAGCTTGTGCTGCTATAGGATAGCATTTTCTCCCAAACACAGACCCTGCCCCCCAAGCCCTGTCTCTTTTCCTTTGAGCAGAACATCAGCTTTCCAAACCAGAGGTGGTATCTCAGTTAGAGGAGTCAGAAGATTTCTGGCCAGTGGAGAGAGGAATTCCTCAAGACACCATTCCAGGTGAGAACCAGACATATGGGAAGCCCCTACAGGGAAGGGTCCAACTGATTAGTCAGGGACCAATATCTTAGAAAAGCGGTAGACAGTGGGATACCCCAAGTGGGGTGCTGTGATGAGCAGTTGCAGACAGGCAGAACCAAACTAAGTTTTTCTCTGGCCGCATAGTCCACAGTGTCCTGCTTTCTTGAAAGTGAACCTGTTGCTAATAGCAGGTGATACATGTGTTCCCAGTAGGGGCTCCCTTAGTCTGTTACACTCATGGTCTACTACCCTCCCCTCATGTAATCACTGGTAACTCTGGTTTGTATTTCTAGCCAGACTTTCCTGTATAGGCTTACATGAATGTATGTGAATATATATACACATTTTGGGGGTGTTATAATACAAACAGGGTCTCACTTCGTCACCGAGGCTGGAGTGCAGTGACATGATCTCAGCTCACTGTACCCTCTGCCTCCTGAACTTAAGCTGTCCTCCTACTTCAGCTTTCTAAGTAGCAGGAAATATAGGCATGCACTATCACATACATTAAATTCTTTTTTTGGGGGGTAGAGATGGTGATTCACTATGTTGCCCAGGCTGATTTCAAACTCCTGAGCTTAAGTGATCTACCCACCTCAGCTTCCCAGAGTGCTAGGATTACAGGCATGAGCCACCGTGTCTGCCAGTCCACTTTATTTATGTATTTATTTATACTCCTCCTGGACACTTTATTTATTTATTTATTTATTTATTTATTTATTTAGAGGTGGAGTTTTGCTCTTGTTGCCCAGGCTCGAGTGCAGTAGCACGATCGTGGCTCACTACAACCTCTGCTTCCCAGGTTCAAGTGATTCTCTTGCCTCAGCCTCCCAAATAGCTGGGATTATAGGCATGCACCACCATGCCTGGCTAATTTTGTATTTTTAGTAGAGGTGGGGTTTCGCCATGTTGGAGAGGCTGATTTCGAACTCCTGACCTCAAGTGATCCACCTGCCTCGGCCTCCCAAAGTGCTGGGATTATAGGCATGAGCCACCACACCCGGCCACTTTATTTTTTTTGAGATGGAGTGTCACTCTTGCTCAGGCTGGAGTGCAGTGGTGTGATCTTGACTCACTGCAGCCTCAGCCTCCCCAGTAACTGGGATTACAGGTGTGCATCATGACACCAGGCTAATTTTTGTATTTTTAATAGAGACGATTTCACCATTTCACTTTAGGTCTTCACCATTTCACCATTTCACATTTCACTTTAGGTCTTGAACTCCTGACCTAAAGTGATTAGCCCATCTTGGCCTTCCAGCGTACTGGAATTATAGGCATGAGCCACTGTGCCCGACCTCTGCTTTATTCTTAACAGCTTCAGTGTGGTCCACATTTGGTTTTTCTTCTTTGGATGGACATTAGAGTTATTGCAGAAAACTTCCTTGCATACTTTTTTTCGCACGAACAAGTTGGTTTTTCTGTAGGTTGGATTTCTAAAACTGGAACTTCAGGATCAACCAATGTTGTAAGCTAAAAATCTGGTAGTGATAAATTGCCATCTCAAATCCTTTAAGGCCAAACATAGTGGCTCACACTGTAATCTCGGCACTTTGGGTGGCTGAGGTGGGAGGATGTTTGAGACCTGTCTCTAATAACAAAATAAAATAGGCCGAGTGTGGTCTCTCATGCTTGTAATCTCAGCACTTTGGGAGGCTGAGGCGGGTGAATCATTGGAGGTCAGGCGTTCGAGACCAGCCTGGCCAACATGGTGCAACCCCATTATTACTAAAAATACAACAATTAGCCAGGTGTGGTAGTGGACACCTGTAATCCCAGCTAATTGGGAGAGTGAGGCAGGAGAATCGCTTGAACCTGGGAGGCAAAAGTTGCAGGGAACAGACATAGTGCCACTGTGTGACAGAGTGAGACTCCATCTCAAAAAATATATATATAAATAAAATTTTTTTTTTTTTTTTTTTTTTTTTTTGAGATGGACTTTCACTCTTGTTGCCCAGGCTGGAGTGTAGTGGTGCATTCCGGGCTAACTGCAACCTCCACCTCCCGGGTTCAAGCGATTCTCCTGCCTCAGCCTCCCAAGTAGCTGGGATTACAGGCATGTGCCACCACACCCGGCTAATTTTGTATTTTTATTAGAGACGGGGTTTCTCCATGTTGGTTAGGCTGGTCTCAAACTCCTGACCTCAGGTGATCCGCCTGCTTTGGCCTCCCAAAGTGCTGGGATTACACGTGTGAGCCACCGAATAAAATCTTTTAAAATAGGGGGATTTAGGCCTTTAACCCCAGCAATTTGGGAGTCCAAGGCAGGAGGATTGTTCAGGCTAGGAGTTCGAGGTTATAGTAGGCTATGATTATGCCACTGCACTCCAATCTGGATGACAGTGAGATCCTGTCTCAAAGAAAAAAAAATCCTTGAGAATACATATAGTTGCTGAAGTGCATGACAGCTTTTTCTTCAACAGCAATTTGTAATGGTCTTTTTAAGGTTTGCAGATCTGATGGGCTAAATATATTGTGTTAGTTTAGTTCACATTTTCCTCACAATGGACCAAGTTGGACATAGTTTATAAATCTATAGCCTGTTTGTATTTTTTCTTTTGTGAGTTTATATATTTTCCCATTTTTTTCTTGTTTATGTGTGGGATTGTGAGTTAATATTTTCCCATTTTTTTATTTGTGGGAATTTTATATGTTCTGGATATTAATATTGAAATGTCATATTCCAGACCATGTATTGTCTACCTTTATGTCATCTCTGTACAGAAGTTTTGTAATTTCAAGGTTTTTTTTTTTTCTTTTCAAATCTGTCTTTATTTCTGTTCTAGATTCTCTATCGTATATAGGCAGGTTATCCAAACGCTTTAGTGTGTTGTGGTATTTGTTACATACCTTGAACTGTTGTGCTCAAGCAATCTACCTGCCTAAGACTTTTAAATTGCTGGGATTACAGCACTTAAGTTTCTGTATTTTTAGTTTATCCAGAATTTCCCTTTATATATGGGTGGAGTTCATTCTCTGCTTGTTGGAAACAACACATTTGTCATGGACTAAATCACCATCTTTATTTACAGGCCTCACTCGTCTCTCCCTTGATCTTTTCTGTCTCTGAGTAAATGCCATGTTACTGTACTTTGATATATACTAGTTCCCCTTGTTAATTAAAAAAAAAAAAAATCTTAGCTGGCTTTAGCCATGTATTTCTTCATGTATGAACACTTACCGTCAGCTTGTCACTGTTCATTGAGAAAATCCGGTTAGGGATGTGTATTACATTTAATTAGTTTTCCATTGTTACTGTTATCTGATCAGGTTAATCCTTCTTCATGGTGTTGCATAGTTGTTCCAGATGAACCAGTCGTGCTCTTAAATTCTGTTATCTTTTTTTTTTTTGAAATGGAGCCTTACTTTGTTGCCCAGGCTGGAGTGCAGTGGTGCGATCTTGGCTCACTGCAACCTCTACCTCCTGAGTAGCTGGGACAATAGTCAACGTGCCACCATGTTTTGCTAATTTTTTGTATTTTATTAGAGACAGAGTTTTGCCCACTTCTGGCAGTACTGAGCTGCGAAATCTGCCCCTTACCCCCCATCTTTGGTGATGACCTGTTTGCCACAGAATAGAGGGCTAGATTCTCTGTGACTCTTCCCTACCCCCAACATTGTTCTGGGCCCTGTTTCTGATTTCTTAATATTTCAACTTCCTGGATCAGCACTAATATTTTGTTTTTCCTCTCCACATTCGAAGTTTTTCCTTCTGTCCCCTTCACTGAAAATCTTTGTTAGCTAAAGAGGTCACTAAACTATTTCACCTGCAAGGTCTCCAGCAGTGCAAGTACTTTGTATTTGCCCGCAGTAGTTTTTGTGCCCCTTGGTCGCTCCCCTTGATTCAGCCTCCTAGTTTTTTGTTTGTTTTTCTTTTTTTGGTATAGAGTCTTGCTCTGTTGCCAGGCTGGAGTGCAGTGGCTTGATCTCGGCTCACTGCAGTCTCCCCCTCCCAGGTTCAAGTGATTCTCCTGCCTCAGCCTCCTGAGTACTGGGGATTACAGCTGCCTGCCACCAAACCCAGCTCATATTTTGTATTCTTATTAGAGGCGGGGTTTCGCCATGTTGGCCAGGATGGTCTCGATCACTTGACCTTGTGATCTGCCCCCTTCGGCCTCTCAAAGTGCTGGGATTACAGGCGTGAGCCACTGCTCCTGGCCCAGCCTCCTGATCTTCCATTTGGTCTTTATGTCTCTGGATTACTCAGGCTGTGATAAGTCTGTGTTTCATCCTTTTTGGAGCTCAGGACCCATGTCCTTCATGGGCAAACCTCCAGGCTATGCACTTCTGGATGATCTAGGAGTATCCTGAATCTGGCTGGTGTCAGGTTACCATGGGTACCATAAGTCTTGGGAGAGTTGGCTCCACAGGTGACAGATTTAGGGTGAAATCCCAGAGTCAGAGGCCACATGAGGGGAGCCTAGCATGAGTTACTGTTGCAGCCTTGGGCTGAGGTGACGGGTGCCCAACTCGTCTTTGCTCTGTCACAGAGAGTCCTTTACTAAATATTGTCCTTCCTCGTTTTGTTTCTTTTCATTTTGTCCTTTTTTTTTTTTTTAAAGAGTGTACCTTCCTCTCTTTCTTCTCTCACCTCACAGATGTTTTTTTTCCCCTCCAAATATTTTCTTTTCTTTTTTTTTTTTTTTTTGAGACGGAGTTTCGCTCTTGTTACCCAGGCTGGAGTGCAATGGCGCGATCTCGGCTCACCGCAGCCTCCGCCTCCTGGGTTCAGGCAATTCTCCTGCCTCAGCCTCCTGAGTAGCTGGGATTACAGGCACACGCCACCATGCCCAGCTAATTTTTTGTATTTTTAGTAGAGACGGGGTTTCACCATGTTGACCAGGATGGTCTCGATCTCTTGACCTCGTGATCCACCCGCCTTGGCCTCCCAAAGTGCTGGGATTACAGGCTTGAGCCACCGCGCCCGGCCCAAATATTTTCAATCCAGAGTTTGTTGAATCCACAGATCTCTAACCCAC